CTCTCTCTCTCTCTCTCTCTCTCTCTCTCTCTCTCTCTCTCTCTCTCTCACACACACACGCGCACTCATGTTGACCTCTGCCTCTTGGCAGTGTGTGCTCGCGGCGAAGGCCTGTGGCTCCCTTTGGCACCGGGCCAGTCCCAACGCTCATGTGTGCCAGCAGGTAGTGACGGGCACGGTGCACAGCGGGCAACCACTCCCCTTTGATCCCCTGCCAACAATTCATCACTTAACAAGAAGGGGGGCAGGCGGGGGAATTAAAACGTTGCTGCCAATTAGCTGGGGAGAAAAAAAAAGAAGAAGATGAAGAAGAGATGATCGGGAGAGGCTGGGAGACACAACACGGCGGAGACAGAATAGCAGTGAATGAAGACTGCTGTTAGGAGTTGATTGAGCGGCGCTCGTCTCTTTGTTTATCGGCGGTTTCTCTGTGGGAAGCTCGCCAGCTGGAAGCAAAGACTGCGAGTGTCTAATACGAGATCTGCCTCCGTTCAGCTGGCTGTGTTGTGATGCCAGAGTTTCAGTGAGAGGCTGAACAGCGGAGCGAGGTAATTAGGTGTGAAGTGACGGAATTCGATGGGGATGTCAATGGCTGCCTGTTCGCGCGGTGACAAGGTCTATACAGGCACAGTAGAGCGACCAAGGCCCGAGTTAATGGGGGATGTAGTAGGTCAGTATTTGAAAGGCAGAAAAGTTGTGGATCGACTTAAACTCTGAAAACCCGCTCTCTATACGCCAGTAAGCATTTTGCCATTGATTCTTGCCATTGAATTGAATTCTTGACAACGTCCTGTTCAACAAACATAGAAATACAAAAACACCAGCCACGCAGAAATTCATTTAGAAAGTAAAAAAAAAAAAAGCAGTAATCCTGATTCATACATAAACACACACGCACACACACACACACACACACACACACACACACACCGCTTGACTCTCTCGTCCTGACAGCCACTGACAGACGGACAGCGCTCTAACAAACACGTTTTGTTGAACGCACCCCTCTCTGCCATCAACACCTGAGCTGCGTTTGGACTCTGCGCCCCGTCCAAACACTTCCTGACAAACAGCTCTGAGTGGACACACCTGTCACCACGGAAACACAGGGCCGTCACCAAGGATACCGGGCCTGTCTTCCTGCGCCAGGACTCTGTGAGTGGCAGTCTGCTCGTCCCTCGGGGGCCCCGACAGCAGCTGATGAGAGACGGGGGGAGACAAAGAAGGGTGTAGAAAAGGAAAGAGAAAGAACTGTGTTTGGGGAGCAAATGGAGTCCGTCCACATTTGTTTCTTCTGTTTTACGGCTGACACATTCGTTGTCTCCCTTTAATGCTGCTCCATCTTGACTACAGCTTAGTTGAAGAGCCACTGTGGTAGTTAGTATTAGATTTATTTTAACCACAACTCTCAAGCAGCCAACATTTGCTTGAAAAACATCGACACAAACACCAAAGAAATACGATTTCTTTAAAGACGATGAGAAAGGACGAGACTTTAAACGCGTCTCAGTAGAGAAAACGTTGACATCAAAGTCATACATCAGCATCATCTTTGTAATTGACTGTGATGTAATGAGGTGCGTGTGTGACTCTCTGTACTCTATACAACACGTGTTAGAGTATTCATGGGAACATATGGCCATATTGACATGCTCAGATGTTTCATAAAAACATAAAGAGCTTGCTACTAGCCTATTCTTTTTACCTACAGTCACTCGGGGGGATTTAGCAGGAAGCATTATACATCATACATTATACAGCTAAATCATCTATACACACGTTCAAAATGTCTGGAAATAGATGAAGATATGGATAGTACATGCAAGAGAAATAACCCAATCGGACTGTGACAAATACTAAGGGAAAATCAGAGCTAAATTAAAAGCCATATGTGTGTGTGTGTAAGCACTTTCAAAGAGACTACCTGTGCCCTGCCAAAGGCATTTTTGTGCTGAAGGCACTTTGAGGCTGTATCAGGCTCTTCAATCGCCTCTTAATCCTAGCTGTGTGGAGTGCGGCTGCTTTGAAGTGTGTGTGTGTGTGTGT